CAAGCACTTAGTAGTGGGGATGTTGATGTTGAACTTTCAATGAGCAAGGCAGAGGCAAAAAGACTGATATATACAGTGATGGTGCAGAGATGGCAGCTGCAGTGGAATAGAGGTAATAAGGGAAGGTATTTATTTCAAGTACAGAGGAAAGTTGTGGAGGGGAGGACGGCAGGAAGGTACAGAAGAGAGGAGGCTATGTTTACAAGATTAAGGGTGGGACACAACCAGTTGAATAAGACATTAAATGTGATAGGAAAGCATCCAACAGGAAAGTGTGATTATTGTCAGGAAACAGAGACCGTGGAGCATGTATTGCTACAGTGTGGGCAGTATAAATGAAATAAAATAAATCAAATCAAATTGTATTTGTCACATGCGCCGAATACAACAGGTGTAGACCTTACAGTGAAATGATTACTTACAAGCCCTTAACCAACAATGCAGTTTTAAGAAAGAATACCCCCCCAAAAAATCACACAAAAAATACAATATAAAATTATACGAAATAAAAGTAACATAATTAAAGAGCAGCAGTAAAAATAACAATAGCGAGGCTATATACAGGGGGTACCGATTCCGAGTCAATGTGCGGGGGCACCGGTTAGTCGAGGTAATTGCGGTAATATGTACATGTAGGTAGAGTTATTAAAGTGACTATGCATAGATAATAAACAGAGAGTAGTAGCAGCGTAAAAGAGGGGTGGGGGGGCAATGCAAATAGTCTGGGTAGCCATTTGAGAGATGTTCAGGAGTCTTATTGACTTATGGCTTAGGGGTAGATGCTGTTTAGAAGCGTCTTGGACCTAGACTTGGTGCTCCGGTACCGCTTGCCATGCTGTAGCAGAGAGATCAGTCTATGACTAGGGAAGCTGGAGTCTTTGACAATTTTTAGGGCCTTCCTCTGACACCGCCTGGTATAGAGGTCCTGGATGGCAGGAAGCTTGGCCCCAGTGATGTACTGGGCCGTACGCACTACCCTCTGTAGTGCCTTGCGGTCGGAGGCCGAGCAGTTGCCATACCAGGCAGTGATGCAACCAGTCAGGATGCTCTCAATGGTGCAGCTGTAGAACCTTTTTGAGGATCTGAGGACCCAAGCCAAATATTTTCAGTCTCCTTAGGGGGAATAGGTTTTGTCGTGCCCTCTTCACGACTGTCTTGGACCATGTTAGTTTGTTGGTGATGTGAACACCAAGGAACTTGAAGCTCTCAACCTGCTCCACTACAGCCCCATTGATGAGAATGGGGGCATGCTCGGTCCTCTTCTTTTTCCTGTAGTCCACAATCATCTCCTTTGTCTTGATCACGTTGAGGGAGAGGTTGTTGTCCTGGCACCACACGGCCAGGTCTTTGACCTCCTCCCTATAGGCTGTCTCGTCGTTGTCGGTGATCAGGCCTACCACTGTTGTGTCATCGGCAAACTTAATGATGGTGTTGGAGTCGTGCCTGGCCATGCAGTCATGAGTGAACAGGGAGTACAGGAGGGGATTGAGCACGCACCCCTGAGGGTCCCCCGTGTTGAGTATCAGCATGGCGGATGTGTTGTTACCTACCCTTACCAACTTGGGGCGGCCCGTCAGGAAGTCCAGGATCCAGATGCAGAGGGAGGTGTTTAGTCCCAGGGTCCTTAGCTTAGTGATGAGCTTTTAGGGCCCTATGGTGTTGAACTCTGAGCTGTAGTCAATGAATAGCATTCTCCTTTTGTCCAGATGTGAAAGGGCAGTGTGGAGCGCAATAGAGATTGCATCATCTGTGAATCTGTTGGGGCGATATGCAAATTGGAGTGGGTCTAGGGTTTCAGGGATAATGGTGTTGATGTGAGCCATGACCAGCCTTTCAAAGCACTTCATGGCTATGGACGTTTAGGTAGGTTTACCTTAGTGTTCTTGGGCACAGGGTAATCCGTCTGGGCCCTACGGCGTTGTGAATGTTGACCTGTTTAAAGGTCTTACTCACATCGGCTATGGAGAGCGTCATCACACAGTCATCCGGAACAGCTGATGCTCTCATGCATGTTTAAGTGTTACTTGCCTCGAAGTGAGCATAGAAGTAATTTAGCTCTTCTGGTAGGCTTGTGTCACTGGGCAGCTCGCAGCTATGCTTCCCTTTGTAGTCTGCAATAGTTTGCAAGCCCTGCCACATCTGGCGAGCGTCAGAGCCGGTGTAGTACGATTCGATCTTAGTCCTGTATTGACGCTTTGCCTGTTTGATGGTTCGTCGGAGGGCATAGCGGGATTTCTTATAAGCTTCCGGGTTAGAGTCCCGCTCCTTGAAAGCGGCAGCTCTACCCTTTAGCTCAGTGTGGATGTTACCTCTAATCCATGGCTTCTGGTTGGGGTATGTACGTAAAGTCACTGTGGGGACGACATCATCGATGCACTTATTGATGAAGCTGACGTATGTGGTGTACTCCTCAATGCCATCGGAAGAATCCCGGAACATGTTCCAGTCTGTGCTAGCAAAACAGTCATGTAGCTTAGCATCTGCTTCATCTGACCACTTTTTTAATGACCGAGTCACTGGTGCTTCCTGCTTTAGTTTTTGCTTGTAAGTAGGAAACACAGGATAGAATTATGGTCAGATTTTCCAAATGGAGGGAGCGGGAGAGCTTTGTACGCGTCTCTGTGTGTGTAGTAAAGGTGGTCTAGAGTTTTCTTCCCCCTCTGGTTGCACATTTAACATGCTGCACATTTAACATGCTGGTAGAAAGGAGGTAAAACAGATTTAAGGTTCCCTGCATTAAAGTCCCCGGCCACTAGGAGCGCCGCCTCTGGATGAGCGTTTTCCTGTTTGCTTATGGCCGTATACAGTTCATTGAGTGCAGTCTAGTGCCAGTATCGGTTTGTGGTGGTAAATAGACAGCTACGAATAATATAGATGAAAACTCTCTTGGTAGATAGTGTGGTCTACAACTTATCATGAGATACTCTACCTCAGGCAAGGAAAACCTAGAGACTTCCTTAGATATCGTGCACCAGCTGTTGTTTACAAATATACATAGACCGCCACCCCTTGTTTTACCAGAGGCTGCTGTTCTATCCTGCCGATACAGTGTATAACCCGCCAGCTGTATGTTATTCATGTCATCGTTCAGCCACGACTCGGTGAAACATAAGATATTACTGTTTTTAATGTCCCGTTGGTAGGATATTCGTGCCTGTAGTTCGTCCATTTTATTATCAAACGATTGTAAGTTGGCCAATAGGATCGATGGCAAAGGCAGATTAGCCACTCGTCGCCGGCTCCTTACCAAGCACCCAGATCTCCTTCCGCGATATCTCCTTTTCTTTCTACTGCGAATGACAGGGATGAGGGCCCTGTCGGGTGTCTGGAGCAAATCCCTCTCGTCCGACTCATAAAATAAAAATGATTTGCCCAGTTCAAGGTGAGTAATCGCTGTTCTGATGTCCAGAAGCTATTTTCGGTCATAAGAGACAGTAACAGCAACATTATGTACAAAATAAGTTACAAACAATGTGAAAGAACTAACAAAATAGCACGGTTGGTTAAGAGTCCATAAAACAGCAGTTATCCCCTCCGGCGCCATTAAGAGGGAAAGAGAGAGGATGAGATTTAGTATGAGGGAGAAGGGGATACAGGAAGTTAGTTTAAAGAATATAATAATAATAATATGACATTTAGCAGACGCTTTTATCCAAAGCGACTTACAGTCATGCGTGCATACATTTTTGTGTATGGGTGGTCCCGGGGATCGAACCCACTACCTTGGCGTTACAAGCGCCGTGCTCTACCAGCTGAGCTACAGATGACCACAGTATAGATATAGTCTCAAATATGTTGTTATCTTTTTTAAGAGCAACGGGGCTGGCAGGTAAGATATAGTTTCTCCCTGTCTCTGGCCCACACTCCAGTACAGTAGGTGGCGGTAATGCACCATAACGTTGGATGCCAACCACCGATAAACCCCACTGAAGAAGAAGAAGAAGATGAAGAAGTTTCCGCCGTTTTCTAACTTCTTTTTCCGCTGAAAGGTAACGTGGTTGCTTGGTGTGCTAGTCGTCGTATAAAAAAGTAGAACAATTTGACCTTTCTGTGTTATGTTTAGATTGCTAATTGTTTAATAACATAACGTACGTTCTTATTACATAGGTGTGATATTGATTGTACCGATATTTTTATAGAATTTTGTAATCGAACTACTTCAAATTTGTCAGGCTGCTACTAGGCCCTAAATCAATCTGCTGTACTAGGTAGTTGGTGAGGTTGTTCAGCATGTAGACGAACACGGGGCTTCGACGTGCGCGCTCATTTGTAATCTGGTATAGCTATAATGTTTGTCAATCGGATAATTTTTTGCACGGTGTAAATGCCGTTAATCGGAAACGCAGTTGAAGGGTTTAACACACCATCTTCACAGTCTCACCCCACTGGACCATGTACATGCAATTTAGGTAGCTAGCTAGCTTCCTACCTACCGTAGCCATTTAGCTAATTCAATTGGCTTGAGATAGCCATTTGGTATTGGGTACATTTTTGTCAACTACAGGAAGGTGACATAACGATCCTGCCAAGTTGCTCTGTTTTATAGCCTGGCTTTTAGCTAACGTTAGTAGAACAAGTACTGCGTAAGCTCACATTATTTGTTTGGCTAACGTTCGTTTTAATATATATATATATTTTACTTTTATTGATGTTTGTATTATATAACTTTACTAACTGGGGGATTTTGGCAATGAGGCCGTTTATCTACTTCACCAGAGTCCGATAAACTCCTGGATACGATTTATGTCTGTCCAGTATGACAGCCAGGTAGCTTAGTGGTTAAGAGCGTTGTGCCAGTAACCGAAAGGTCGCTGGTTCTAATCCCCGAGCCGACTAGGTGAAAAATCTGTCGATGTGCCCTTAACCCTAATTGCTCCTTTAAGTCGCTCTGGATAAGAGCGTGACTAAAATGTAAAAATGGATGAAGGTAGTGTGGTAGTTTCGCGAGCCAATGCTAACTAGCTGGACTGGAAGTCTATGGGTATCTGCTAGCATGCTATCCCTTTAACGATTCTTGTCTGCCCCAGGTTTGTCAACATGTCGTCTCATCTGCAGTGGATGGTCATTAGGAACTGCTCCAGCTTCCTCATCAAGAGGAATGGACAGACTTACAGCACCGTAAGTACAACTGACAGATTGCCAAGAATCAGTGGTCCTAGTAAATGTACCCCACATACCTGGTGGATCATGAAGTAGTTCATGCATGCAGTCAGATGTTCTTTGAGTGTGTTGAAATGTTGACAATGTGTCTATGGTCTGTCAATTCTTTATTCATATGACAAAGAGATTAACAAAAAGAGAAAATAACATTACATTCTGGCAACAGCTCTGGTGGACTTTTCTGCAGTCATCATGCCAATTGCATGCTCCCTCAACTTGAGATGTCTGTGGCGTTTTAGTGGGCTTTTGTCCCCGTTGCACCTGTGTAATGATCATGCTGTTTAATTCTTCATATGCCACACATTTACATTTTAGTCATTTAGCAGACGCTCTTATCCAGAGCAACTTAGTTAGTGAGTGCATACATTTTTTAAATACTGGCCCCCCGTGGGAAACGAACCCACAACCCTGGCAATGCAAACGCCATGCTCTACCAACTGAGCTACACGGGCCTACACACCTGTCAGGTGGATGGATTGTTGGCAAAGGAGAAATGCTCACTAACAGGGATGTAAACAAATGTGTGCACAACATTTTAGAGAAATAAGCTTTGTGTGTATGGAACATTTCTGGTATCTTTTATTTCAGCTCATGAAACATGTTGCGTTAATATTTTTGTCCAGTATACATATGGTTTGAACATGCAGAGTCGTGCTGCAGGATTTGTTCATGCTGCAGATTGATGATTTAAGATAAACAAGTTCAATGGGATTTGTTAGTCAAATGTATTTTGCATTTGTTTAACAGGAGCCCAACAACCTGAAGTCCAAGAACTCCTTCCGTTTCAACGGGCTGGTACACAGGAAGACTGTTGGTGTTCAGCCTGCAGCTGATGGCAAGGGTGTCGTTGTCGTGCTGAAGAAGCGTGCAGGTAAACATGGTTCTCCATAATACCAACCAGGAAATGCAAGTACAGATCCACCACATACCTGTTTATGATGATTCTTTGATATTTGTCATGATAATCCACCTTGGTTGTGAATCACCTTAGGAAATTTGTCTTGCTGCTTCGTGTTGCTGTTAAGATATCGGTAGCTGTTGTACCTGTGATTCTGCATTCATGTGGATCTACCTGCTCATGACTGACATGTCATTGATTTAGGTCAGTGTACTCCGAGAATGTGGATTGAGGTAGTTTGGCTTTTTCTTGTTACTCCTCAGGCCAGCGCAAGCCTGCCACTTCATATGAGAAGATCACCATCAACAAGAACTCGCGTGCCACTCTTAGCAGCCTGAGGCACATCATCCGCAAGAACAACTACAGAAAGGACCTGCGCATGGTGAGCACTCTATTTACTAAACCTCTTGTTTTTCTACTGGTCTTTGATATTTGTGCTAGGACCAACCGGGTGTGGGGGCTTTTGACAACCCTGTATACACTGTGGGATTCAAGACTAGGATTGAAGACTTCTGTAGTGCCACCCAAGTTTGCATCTGAGACTGCTGGGCCGATTTTTTTCCTGACAAGGATTAAGGGATAGATTCTATCAAATCCGTGCTAGCCGACATCCACATGGCAGTGTAGGAAGTGAATGTTTGAGCGGTCAAATCCACAAGCTGCTCCTTGCGTTACCTTATCGCGTACACTGGCATTGTATGCAGCGACACCACGCCTAACTTTATCTGACCTCCCACGCAGCGGTCTTACAAGTTAAACTCAAATGCGTGATGTTCAATCGTCCACACCTTGATTACACTGATAGGCTATAAGTACCCTCATCCAAATTAACATAACTTTATTAGTAAAGTTGATTAATTAGCTTAATTAGAATATACTTTATTTCGCTGTTTTGAACTTCTAACACGTTAGGGATAATAAGGGAGTGGTTTGTGACATGTGCAGCTGCTCACCCATTTGTCAGCTCATACCACAGTCACACCTCCAACATGCAAATATATCCGCTATGCAGAGGTCTTCCAACTCGGGTTAACGCTTGATCTGATTGAATTGAGGCCTGAGCCTTGTCCTGGACTAAAGTATGTCCAATGGAAGAGCGTCTGCTAAATGTCTTAAATGTAAATGTAGGTTCTCCATTGAACGTTTTTAGTCCAGCTCTAGGCTTAGTGCTTAAAAAAATCACTTTCAATGGAGAACCCTTGCAGTTGTGGACATGAATAAACCCATAGGGGCTTAAGATTGTATGACGGGCTAATGGTCAGACTCCTAGCAGGTAAAGATGGATCCAACTATAACATCTTTAAAGTTGAAAGACGAGTCATTTGAGCGATGTGCTTTGTTTTCCCAGGCTGCTCTGCGTCGTGCCAGCGCCATCCTGATGAGCCAGAAGCGCGTGGTGGTGGTGAAGAGGCGTTCCAAGGCTGCCAAGACCGCATAAATGTGCAGTTATGACAAATAAAACCATTTGTTGGTTTGAAAAACACTACCCTGTCATCAGTCTTCAATCTTTGGGTCTTTTAATAAGAATAAAGTGCCTCAAGATGGTGTAATAATAATAATAATAATAATAATAAGGGGCTATAACACCACTGTATCATGTGTTTGATGGTTCCAAGAAACACTTACATTCCATTTGATGGTGTAATTGTTTTGTTTGGGCTGACCTAATTTAAATGCTGTTATGCAACATCCCCTGTTATGTCTGTGGAGAAGCCTGTTTCTGATTCATTCAATCTGGTTATTCAAGGCCAGGGCCTGGTTTCCCAATTGCGATGGAACTTACAAGTGTTTTAACGATGCGTCTTTCCTATAACGGCAGAATATGTAACGTGTTTCCCCAAACGCCATGCAGAGAGAACGGTCGCTAAGTGTGCATGTCGATACCAGGGGTTGCAACCGGTTGGGGGAACAGAACCAGAAAATACATTATTAGAGAAATGGGAATGAAAGTAAACAGAACCGTTAATATAAAAGCATGGGAATCAAATCAAATGGTATTTGTCACATGCGCCGAATACAACGGGTGTAGACCGTACAGTGAAATGCTTACTTACAAGCCCCTAACCAACAATGCAGTTTTAAGAAAAATATTAGGTAAATATATACTAAAATAAACTGAAGGGGAAAAAAAAGAGCAACAGTAAAATAATGTGACTAAATGTACAGGGGGTACCGGTACAGAGTCAATGTGCTGTGTCACGGGTTAGTCGAGGTAATTGCGGTAAAACAGTTGAAGTCGGAAGTTTACATACACTTAGGTTGGAGTCATTAAAACTCGTTTTTCAACCACTCCACAAATGTCTTGTTAACGAACTCTACTTTGTGCATGACAATTTTTCCAACAATTGTTTGACAGATTATTTCACTTTTATAATTCACTATCACAATTCCAGTGGGTCAGAAGTTTACATACACTAAGTTGACTGTGCCTTTAAACAGCTTGGAAAATTCCAGAAAATGAAGTCATGGCTTTAGAAGCTTCTGATAGGCTAATTGCCATCATTTGAGTCAATTGGAGGTGTACCTGTGGATGTATTTCAAGGCCTACCTTCAAACTCAGTGCCTCTTTTCTTGACAAGATGGAAAAATCAAAATAAATCAGCCAAGACCTCAGAAAAATATTTTGGGACCTCCACAAGTCTGGTTCATCCTCGGTAGCAATTTCCAAACACCTGAAGGTACCACGTTCATCTGTACAAACAATAGTACGCAAGTATAAACACCTTGGGACCACCCAGCCAACATACCGCTCAGGAAGGAGACGCGTTCTGTCTCCTAGAGATGAACGTACTTTGGTGCAAAAAGTGCAAATCAATCCCAGAACAGCAAAGGACCTTGTGAAGATGCTGGAGGAAACGGGTACAAAAGTGTCTATATCCACAGTAAAACAAGTCCTATATCGATATAATCTGAAAAGCCGCTCAGCAAGGAAGAAGCCACTGCTCCAAAACCGCCATAAAAAAACAGACTACGGTTTGCAACTACATGGGGACAACGATCGTAGTTTTTGGAGAAATGTCCTCTGGTTCTGATGAAACAAAAATAGAACTGTTTGGCCATAATGACTATCGTTATGTTTGGAGGAAAAAGGGGGTTGCTTGTAAACTGAAGAACACCATCCCAACCGTGAGGCACGGGGGTGGCAGCATCATTGCTGCAGGAGAGACTGGTACACTTCACAAAATAGATGGCATCATGAGGAAGGAAAATTATGTGGATACATTGAAGCAACATCTCAAGACATCAGTCGGGAAGTTAAAGCTTGGTCGCAAATAGGTCTTCCAAATGGACAATGACCCCAAGCATACTTCCAAAGTTGTGGCAAAATGGCTCAAGGACAACAAAGTCAAGGTATAGGAGTGGCCATCACAAAGCCCTGACCTCAATCTTATAGAAAATGTGTGGGCAGAACTGAAAAAGCGTGTGTGAGCAAGGAGGCCTACAAACCTGACTCAGTTACACCAGCTCTGTCAGGAGGAATGGGCCAATAGTCACCCAACTTCTTGTGGGAGGCTACCCAAAACGTTTGACCCAAGTTAAACAATTTAAAGGCAATGCTACCAAATACTAATTGAGTGTATGTAAACTTCTGACCCACTGGGATTGTGATGAAATAAATAAAAGCTGAAATAAATCATTCTCTCTACTATTATTCTGACATTTCACATTCTTAAAATAAAGTGGTGATCCTAACTGACCTAAGACAGGGAATTTTTACTAGGATTAAATGTCAGGAATTGTGAAAAACTGAGTTTAAATGTATTTGGCTAAGGTGTATGTAAACTTCCGACTTAAACTGCATATGTGATCAAGAGAAGGAGGGTGCCATGGCGAGTGATGGTCAAGAGGAGATAGGCATCGTCTTAAGTGATCACCGGTCTGAGCAGTGTCGCAAAGGCTTGTGCCATTCTTCTTTGCATGACATATGCTCTGAATCTCAGGACCTTGCACAACATGTAATGAAAATCTATGTGTACTAACCTGGGATATTTATGTTAAGTATTATGTTTACCAATAGATGGTAGTATTGACTCACTACGGGGTTTGTGTTCCGCTATCCGTACTGGTTTAAATGTCTGTCAAATAACCGTGCTTGAGGAAATTTACTCCAGATGCATTCTGGGAATGTTTATTCTACTTACAATTAAATACTAACACCTACTTACGTGTCCGGTGTCATCAATCTAAGAAGCATCCTAACATACTACATATTTGGCGACGAGTATGACTGCGTTGGATTTGTTTGTCACGAATTCAACAAAGTGTTTGGCTTGCAACTCTGGATGTAAGACTCGAGTGAGCAGCGGAAAATTATGAAGGAATGATTCCCTGGATAGGGGTAGGACAAATTATTGACTGTGTGAGCGGAGAGGGGATCGGAAAAGATGGCTTTGCAACAATAGGCTCGCTACCACCATTTTATCCTAAAAATCAGGAATTGGAGGAGTATTGTGAAATAATGGAACATTCCTTTGCCGCTAATAAAATAACTGTTGCCGCTATACAGAAATCCATACTCATAAACATTGTCGATGCACAGATACAGTTGTATGTTGAGCCCAGATAAACCAGGAGAAAAGTCATTCGTAGATTTAGTCGTTCTGTTAAAAGATAACTTCAAGCCCAAACCCAGTGAAATAGTGCAACGATTCAAGTTTGATTCACGCATAAGAAAACCTACCGAATATGTGGCTGAGTTGAGAACTAGCACTGGACGGTAACTATGGGAATACATTATCGCAAATAATACGTGATCGGCTTGTGTGTGGGATTAATGATGACAGGATTCAAATATGCTTGTTATCAGAGCCTAATCTCACGTTTGGCCCAGGCCATGGAATCCGCAAATAGAAATACACTGGATTTGCTGGAAAAGGGGCGCAACTGCGTGCCATACAGTAAAAGAGAGCAGCGCTGAGTTTCAAAGAATAGAACGCTGCGGGGCAGCAGCCAATAGAGACTTATCGTTGCAAAGGCAAACACGCAGCGTTTGACTATGAATTCAAACATGAAGTTTGAAGTGTTATGCATGTGGGGTAATAGGACACATTGCGAGGGCGTGCCGCAATAAGAAAAAGCAACGGGCTACAGAAAAGAGAACAAACGGAAGAAAACCGAATACCTCACGACGCTCTAACTACCGCTCAAATCAAGTAATAGAAAGTGAAAGTGGGTGCACAGACGCTGAGGAATCACTGTGATTGGAGTTGCTGATGTGCAAGTGGAATAAAGGACAAAAGAAAAGTATGCCCCTTTTTTTTTCTCCTTATATATTTTGAGGGGGTAGATCAGCTTTAATATTGCAGATAGTTTATAACTTCCATCAATGTAATTGTCTGCATCACTTCCAATCCCCATATATTTTTTTCACAAATACATACATACATACTTACATACATACACTACCAGTCAAACGTTTGGCCACACCTACTCATTCAAGGGTTTTTCTTTATTTCAATTTGTTTACATTGTAGAATAATAGTGAAGACATCAAAACTATTAAATAAGACATGGAATCATGTATTAACCAAAAAAGTGTTAATCAAATGAAAATATTTTATATTTGAGATTCTTCAAATAGCCACCCTTTGCCTTAATGACAGCTTTGCACACTCTTGGCATTCTCTCAACCAGCTTCATGAGGGATGCATTTCAATTAACAGGTGAGCCCAAATTTCCCCTGTCTTAGGTCAGTTAGGATCACCACTTTATTTTAGGAATGTGAAATGTCCGAATAATAGTAGAGAGAATGATTTATTTCAGCTTTTGTCTATTTTGTATATATTTCTCAATTTTACTTTTCATTCTTTAACTAAATATACTTTCCTGCAACCCGCCTCACCCAACGTGGAAAGGATTCTATTATTTCTTTATAACTTTCATCAAGAACCTTAAGCTGAAACTAGTCTAGCTGCAACTGAATGGCTACTTGCTATTAGTCACCGTTAGCGTCTTCACCATTGTCCGTGGCCTACACTATCCACCAGCCAGCTCTAGCTCTAGCCTGGACAATTCGTCGGCCAGTCTGCACAGCGTGCTATCGACCCAGAGCATATCGGACTTTCTGCCGGAATCACTTGACCCTAGCGCCGGATCATCGCAACCAGCTAGCTGCAACCTGTTGTTGGCTAATTACCATTGCCCCATAGCAAGCACCAGTTAGCCTTGAGCTAGCCTCAGGCCCATCTCCCGGCAATCTACCTCTCTGTCAACCGGACGGGACCTCCTAGTGTTGACACTGAGCCCCGCCGATCCAACACGACTTGTTTGCCGACGAAATCGTCTGATGTGGTTTCAACAGGCTTCCCGTTGCGACGACCACGAAGATCCATCTGCTAGCTCCGGCCCGCTAGCACACGCAAACTACAACTGTGCTTCCTGCTAGCTGTGCTGAAGCACCAATTTGAACTGCTCTCGGACTCACATATTGCTGTTCACTGGAGCTTATGATCACTCAGCTGCACAGCTGATGCCTGCTGGACTGTTCTTTTACACGGTACCCTGTCCTGTTTATTCTGTTTAGCCTCAGCCCAAACTTTATCGCTATTACCAGTTGTTGTCTTA